TCAAAATCCCAGTCTTCTAGCTTCTCACTTTCCCGAGTTAGCAACTTACCCGGAAGAAACCTTCAAAGGCCTGTACGTAGGTACAACGCTTGCCCGCGGGCAGTGTTTGAACTTTTAATACCTACTTGGACGAGGAACGTTGCCCTAAGATTTCAGCGTTCTAGCTTCTCAGATCCCCGAGTTATGAACTTACCCGGAAAAAATTTTTGCGGGTCAGTACATAGGTCCCTCGCATATCCGCTGTCTGGGTTTGAGCTCAATAAAACATACGCGGACAGGGAACATCCCCTTAAAATTTCAGGGTTCTAGCTTTTCCGGTTCGCCAGTTAGCGGCTTACCCGCGAAAAACTTTCACAGACCCGTACGTGGGTACCACGCGAGTGAGAGCGCCCATTTTAAGGATTGGGGCTCGTACGTGCATGTAGATTAAGTTCCCAAAGTTTCAGCCTGTATCTTTCATAGGTCTTGAGATGAAAAATCGGTACAAACGTACACAGACACACGGACACATAGACAACCCGTCGTCGATATGCATTTTTGCACTGCAAGAAATGCATAAAAATATCGAACAAAAACCCAGATAGCGACCCAGTTGGCCTGCGGGCCGATAATGTGTTTTTGCGTGATTCCACCCTGCAGGGAGACTGCCTTTATTAAACATGTGGTTGCGATCTTTCAATTTGAAAATTTGATGCGCCTATACACAGGACTCATACTTGGGCAGAAGGTGACCCTACACACTGAGGTCCATATGTGAGCAACAAGCATCCTTAAGTAAAAATGTTGATTCCTCCTTAATCCGGTTACCGAGTTAATGGAGTGTCAACAGTGTCCCAAACTAAACAATAACTGGCGCTCATTGAAGGCCTGAGAGCTAAGCTGAATTAGAAATGATTAGCTCACACGAGGAAATAGAAAATCCTTGTAAAATTTCAATTTCCTGCTTTGCCTGGTCCCTAAAATTGCATTCCCATCAAAAATCTTACATTTTTTCTTTCAGGCGCCCATGCGTGAGATACAAACGCACGTGAATTATGATTTACCGGAAGGATTATGAATGGGGTGACACACGTTTAAAAGCTTCAGCTCCTGCTTTCCTGGTTGCTAAATTGCAACTGTGTGACAAAATGCGAACACACACATGCAACCTCTTGCCAATGTGCGTCTTTGCGTTTGCACAAATGTGCAAAAAAGCATAAAAATTGTTCTTGTGATCACTTTTTGAACGCTCCTTATCGGAAGGAGGAAAACAAAAGCAAGAAAAAAATACGGGCTGATTGACAGTCGGGTGAACTGAAGATTCAATTACAGCAACCGCAAACAGATCACCAGTTGCATCGGTAAGATAAAGTAGTGCTAGGATAAGCTAGCAGCTGATTAAAGTAAATAAGGTTCTTGAAGCATATAGAGTGACGAATATTATTACTGCAAACCAGTATTTGCGGTGCTTTTGTGACGGCTTTACTTTGCAGAGAAACCCCGATTCCGAAAACACTTTTTGTTTTGTACCTTCTCCTCACTTAGCTTCCTCGAAGGCCAATTGCTCAAAAACCTCTCCTGCAGCTCTGAGAGACTCTTCGGTCTGTGACGTTTACCTTTAGTTAATGCCATCATCTCTATGAGGTACGTGAATGAAACTCTCAGTATTTTAGCTTTTTCCTCTTTCCTAATGTATGCGGAAATGCTGAAAAAAAAAACTTTTTTTTTTAAAATACAGCTAGGCGAGGCAGTCACAAAAGTGAAGCAAAATAGTGGGGCCAATAATTTCTTAAAAGGGTGTGGGCATTTTCGACAAATCGTGGGGGGGGGGGATGATTTCAAGTAGCTTGTTATAATAATTATACCGAGTCATTTTTGACCTCGGATCACCATGTTCGCCCGAAATATCAGTTCCGAACACTCTGTATTTCAAGAGTGCAGCTGCTGCCAAAGCGAAGACTTATCGAGCTTCTTTGTGCCGGGTAAATTTGTCCCATTTGTTTCTCACTATCTTCACAACAGTCATTTCGAAATCAAAATATCGCTAAAATACTGCGGTAGTAAACAAATGTTAAAAAATTCAATAGTGAAAGGTCACAGTTAAGTCTGTCCAGTCATACATCATAACCGAGTCTTGCAGTCGAACATGCGATATCTCGTTGAAAATCGTAGAGGGGCCTTTTCTTTCTTGCGAAAGAGTTACTTATGCGAAAACCAACAGTTTAAAAAATCCGGTTTTTTAATCGGCAATATAATAACGGGACATGAGCATTGTTAGTTGTGTACTTATATCAGCAGTGAATTATTCTTTACTCTGAAAAGAATAAAAAACTATTCGAAGGCCCTTTCTGCTCGTCAGTTTTTTCAACAGTTTTTATGCGTTTTTGCTGTGCAGCGTTATAGCAGCGTTATAGCAGCGCTATAACGCTGCGCAGCAAAAAAGCTACAGCCAGCAACCCAGGTTAGAACGCACCAGGCTCTCCGGTGCGATCATGCGTTTTTGCACTAAACTCGCAGATCGCTATTAGCAGGAATGATCCCTATGTTGTAGCCTAACACTAGGACTAATATTGGCCGTGCTTTGATCCTTACCGGCATGCAGGAGGAAGGGCATCACTTGGGATGAAGGTGGTGCATTGTAGAGCCGCACGGACATCCAGGTGCATGATCACCGGTTTTTTGCATGAAATCCGGTCTTTTTTTCGGTAAATGCTCGCTTTGTGAAAAATGTCGTTTTTCTGCATTAGCTCACTATGAATGAAAGTTTTTTATGCGTTTCTGCATATGCGCAAATGCAAAAACGCATATTAGCAAGAGACTGCCTGTGTGTCTGTGTGTGTATTCACAATTTTTGCCACTCACTTCCAACTTGAGAACCAGAAAAACTAGAAAACTGAAATTTCTAGAGAATGTACCCATTGCCTGTGCGGCCCTCTTTTTTTAGAGGCAGAAATTTCGGAGTATGTGCCCACTGCCTGAGCGATTCTCCCTTTTTATGCGTTTTTTGCACCTATGCAATGCAGAAAACTCACACTGATGAAGGGATGTCTGTGTGTGTGTTTTTGTTTGTGCGTCTGTCACGGCTTTTCATCTCAAGACCTACGAAAGCTACATGGCTGAAGCTTTGTGAACTTAATTTACACACCCGTACGGGCCCCAGTCCTCAAAATGCGCGCTCTTACCCGAGTGGTGCCCACTTACGGGCCCGTGAAATTTTTTTTTTCGAGTATGTTGTCAACTCGGGAACCTGAGAAGGTAGAGGACTGGAATTTTAAGGGGGGTTCCCCATCCACGTAGGTGTTAATGAGTTCTAACTCAGACACCAGGTGTGCGCGATGCCCACGTGCTGGCCCGTGAAAGTTTTTTTCGAGTAAGTTGCTAACTCGGGAGAGCCAGAAAACTGAAATTTTAAGAGGGTGTTTCCTGACAGTTCTGGTGGTCAGTCTTAATTTGTTTAGCTAAAAGCATCTGCCGGAAAAACCGGTGCCGATGGTGACAAAAACTGCGGGGGACTATGCAAAAAACGCTTTTTTGTACTGGTAACCGATGCGTTGACTAATTATCAATATTATCATCTGCTTACGTTATCATCTGCTTCAAAAAAATATGCACTGGTGGTTAAACGACTTGGGGAACTATACAGGACAGAGAGCTGAAACTTTGAAGGAACATTCTCCATGCGTATGTGAGATAAAGATTTCAAATCCAGCCCTAAGGTATGCGTGGTTCTCAAGTACGGGCACGTGAAAGTTTTGGAGGGAGAACTGCTAATTGCGGAACTAGAAAAGCTGGGGGGCTGAAACTTTAAGGGTATTTTCCTCTGTCCAAGTACAGCTTAAATATCTCAAACCCAGCTCGCAGGTACGCGTGATACTCACGTACGAGTAAGTAAAAGTTTTGGCAAGAAGAAACTTTGTCGCTCGAATACT